TGCGTGCAAAGTCCGGCCGGAGCCCCAGCCCTGCCCCTGTAACGCGTTCCCTCCCGGCAGCACTGTGCTGGGGGCACGGCCGGGGCTCCCCAGCAGCTCCCCTCCGCTGCTCGGCCAGTTTGCTGTCAGAACAAGTTTCCTTCACATCTTCCTTTCCTTCCAGTGAGCTCCAGACGGCACTAAATGAAGAACCTCCCCTGCACAGAGCAGTAAGCACAACGCCAAGCATCACCCCTTGAAAAACATGGCTTCAAACAGACGAGCAAGACAGAAGTGACCTGCAGCAGGAGACACACCCAGGAAAATTCGGGTGAAGCTGTTTCAGAAGCAAGAGGCGGCTCCCCTGTGCTGTCAGGGCTCCATCTCACCCGGCCGGGGCCAGGCACACCACTGGGCTCCCCTCTGCCAGGGCGAGAAGGTCTGGCAGCAGCGGGGCCAGGACCAGCTGGATCAGAAGATGCTTCTCTGCGGTCACCTCTGCCTCCCCTCCTCTCCCTTCCCTCGCTCCCTACCCCCAGGAAAAGGTTAAAAACAAGTTAAGTTGCATACAGCAAAACAAACCCAGAAAAAGCTGCAAGTGGGCGTGAGGAGCAGCAGCGCCCGGGAAGGGTGACAGACGGCCGCGAGCAAACCCTCGTGGGCAGCGAAATGGGGCTGGATCCGGCAGCTCCCACTGTTGCCGCAGCCCCCAGCCCTCCCCGGGACCACGGCAGCACCCCCTGCGCTTCATGTCCACGCAGGACACCCGACACGGCACATGCACGAATTTTCCTTTATAAGAAGTTTACATCCAAAATACTCAGTATTTCAGTCCTTTATCACCAGCTACTTTGTTTCACACAAAAACCTGAAATAAGCCGCAATTCTCATTCAAAACCACACCAGTAAGGCAAGTGCGGGGTTTGGCTCGGAACGCGGGGGGCTGCCTCTGGCCCCGCTCTCGCCGCGCCGACGCAGAGCAAAGAGCACCGTACCTTCCCAACACGCTTGCAGACGCGCACAAAGGTTGCCAGTTATCGCTTTACTGCAGTACCCTAATCCTAGTAATAAAGAACAGTATCTGAAAAGAGCCTCTCTCCTTGCCGTCAACATAAACAAGATCACAGCTGAGGTAAGGTTAATTAGTTCATTTTTTCAAGCCAAGGAATTAAATGGTTGCCCTGTGATCATGACCCAAGCCCAAAGCAAAGGGAGGCAGGAAAAGGCAGTGACTGTACCGGTGTTATCAGACCAAGTGTGGGCTGAGTGCCTCTTATCAGAGGGAAAGTTGAGACTGAAGTAGAAAGGCAGAAAATAAAGAAATAATCTGTAAAGCAGAAGCAAAGCCAGAGAGCTCCACTCAACCAGATGTGTCACTACATTTAATAATCTTTATTTTAAAGCTGCAATAGGGGGAAAAATAGATAATTCTTTCTGACTGGTTATGATGGAGGGGTCTGAGAAGGACAACCATGGCATTGTGCCCACATAAACCAGACCATGGTGTGGCCCCTGCACTGCAGCTGAGGCTCTTGTCCCCAAAACCACGGCTTTCCCCAGCTGAGAAGGCAGAGGCCTGGGCAAGGCAACTCCAGGAGCACACGAAGCTCCCGCAGCATGTCCCTGTCCCAGGTCCCCCAGCAGGGACTGGTACTCCGTGATGAAGATCCCAGTGCCAGACCAAAGCTGGAACATAGTTTATTCCTATTGCGTAAGACCGATGGCATTGAATTTGCTGCTGCGAGACTCGGGGAGCTAGCGGATGTTACACGGGTTTTCCTCGGACTATATTCACTTAAAAGTAAGAACAAAGCTCTTGCAAAACTGAAAGCAGGAACCACAGCAGCAAGGACTCTTCTTTCTCCGCAGAAAACAACATTCAGTATCTCGTCGCGAACCTCCCCTCCTGAGCGGCCCCGTGGAGCCGGGGCGGTCGAACCCCCGGTGCTGGGTTCGGCTCAGCATCTGCTCCCTCAGCCGCTCCTGGGAGGGAGCAGGTAGAGGTGAAAAAATAAACCCTGCCTGAGCAAAGCAATTTTGGAGCTGTTTGGGGGTGGTACGCGCTGTCGGCCCCCCACTGCCCAGCGTCCCGGCGGCATGCAGCTGCAGCGGGGCGCAGAGCAGCAACACCCCGGGGAGCACAGGACCTCTGCTGCATGTCCCGCTGCGTGTCCCCCCACAGCACGGCCGTCCCCAGTCGCTTCCCCGGAGCCTGACCCGCTGTGAGCAATCCATCAGACCCAGATTGCATCTCCACATGCACCCAGGGATGGTGCCAGCGGGAATAAAAGCCGATGTTTAACCACCTGCACTAGGCTGCCTCTGATGTTCTCGAAGTGAAACTTGACGCTGCTCAGCAAAGACACACCTCTTCCAGGGTGTTGTGCAAAATTCTGCATTTTAACGTAGGACAGGAAATATGAAAAGAGCCGGGCAGAACCCAAAGAGCACCCTCGGTTAGGCCGAGCTTCGTCAGCTCCAGCAGCAAATCAAAGGGTTCGCTTCACTTATCCATCCACCCGTGATTTTCCAGTGCTTTGGAAGTTGCCGTTCCTTCGCTAACAGGTTTTAAAGGATTGGCATTGCTGCTTCCCTCTGGAGCAGCTCTGCAGAGGGTTTTTTTCCTCCCTTCTCTTTCATGCTTTATTTCCTGACTCCACAGTGGGATGGGTCGGTTGCAAAAGATTCTCATTCCCTTTTTGGGATTGGTTTTGGCCTTCTGGTTTTATTCTGCGAGGGAGAATTTCAAACCCGGTAAGTATTAAACGTGAATCTGTCTTTAAGAAAAAATATTAAAAGCCACATTTGAGTGTTTTGCATAGAAACTGTACAGAGCTTGGACCAAACCACGTCTCAGCCTTTGTGTGGCGGCCGATACTTCTAACAAAGATTTGAAATCAAACTGAACGAGTAATATGGAGAAATACCTCCTGCGGGAGCAGGTGAGGGAGAGGGCTGAGACAGAGAGGACTCTGAACACTCCATTTTCCAGTGTGTAGCAAAAGAATTTATAAAAATTACTTTTAAATGTCGGATTTTAAGTTTTGCAGCATGCAATTAGTAGATGATTTTTATTACAAAATAGTGGGGGTGTTTATAAGTTGTGTCCTGACTTTTGGAAAACACTGCTGAAAGAGCCGAGCGCTGTCCCGGTGTCTCTGGAGTGGGCGAGGAGCCGCAGCCGCTCCTCAGCCCAGCTTTTTCCAGCAGATGGAAGAGACGTCCTGGTGCCGGACGCTTTGCAGTTGCAGGCTCACTTAGCTTCCAGTTAACTACTTACTCTGAGGGCATTAGGGGATTTTTAAAAAAAATTATTTTCTAAATAGTGCTTGGATAAATTAAATCCCCATGCCTTGGTCCCCAGAGATGCTGAAAGGGAAGCGGGTGATTGTCACCGGAGCAAGCACTGGAATTGGAGAGCAGATGGCGTATCACTTGGCGCGGATGGGGTCCCACATTTTGATCACGGCACGGACAGAGGCCAAGCTGCAGAAAGTAAATGGCAAGCTGAGCACCCACACAAGCACATTCACGGTGGCACACACACAAACATATGAAGGCCAGTCTCGCATCACAGGTACACGCGTGAATATGTGCCCATGTAGTTGCCATGGCACAAATACCAGACAGGCGCAGTTACTTCCACAGGTATGCATACTGATGCTGTCTGGGGCTCCTGCATGCACAGAACCCCCTCTCCTGCAGATACCTGCACTCTGCGTAGCACATATTATGGTATTTGAACTTGCTTAGTTATGTACACATATCCCCATACACACAGGCTCCCTCCACACACACACACCCTCATTCCACTGCAGTGATATACAGGCTCCTGCTCACCCTACACACGTGTGATTCCGGCACAGACTGCACCCATACAGAGCCAGACTGCCTTGGGTAACACATTCACCCAAAGAATAATTTTTCAGGCTCCCTTTGAAGCTTAAAAGGCTCATAACATACTCCCGAAACTCCAAACCGCTGTTTTAAGGTGGGGACACATCACAGGGAACACAGACGCCCTCTTTTGCTACGGCACCAGGCGTCCCAGGGCAAGGAAAGGGATTTCTGATGCATGGTGTTGGTGCAGGTGGTGGAGCGGTGCCTGGAGCTGGGGGCAGCCTCTGCGCGGTACGTCAGCGGCACCATGGAGGACATGGCCTTCGCCGAGCACGTGGTGAAGGAGGCAGAGACCTTGCTGGGTACGTTTACAGCCTGCTCTCCGCAAATGACAGTGGAAAATTGCATCTTGCCTTGGCCATGCTGCTTTTTGCCACATCCCTACTAAAAAAAGCAGGAGAGATGGAGATGGGGTGAGACGGGAGAGATTTTTTCCTAATTATGCCCTTTGCAGTCCCGCTCCTCCGCCTGGCTTCATCGCTCCAGCTCAAACTGAACTGCGCTCTCGATTTCAGCTCCGTGCCCTCATGACATCCTGTTCCAGTACCATAAACCCGGATTTCATCACCCTCTGCTACTGCGGTCTGAAACCCTCCATCAGCCCCATAGCAGCCTTGCTATTGCGGTCATGGGTCACGGCTGCCCTAATGCAATGTTTCGGCTCAGTGCGGAGCGCTGCCTTTCCCGCCCCCAGCCCACAGACAACTCGAGGGTGATGATTCCCTCATGCCATGGCATTTGCATTTTGAACCAGAAAAAAAAAAAAATCAGGACCAAATTTTTACTGGCAGCCACTATCCGGACTATATCCCCGCTCCAGAGATGACAGGCCACAGCTCTGACCCAAAAACCTAATTTCTTTCCATGACATTTATCGTTCTCCCAGGAAAGGCTCTGCTCTGCTGGTTGCAGCCCTCTCCCACCCAGCACTAATGCCTGCTCCTCTGCTTGCAGGAGGCCTGGACATGCTCATTCTTAATCACGTCGGTGCGTCATACTTCGGTTATTTCAATGGGGACGTTGGGCATGTACGAAAGCTCCTGGAGATCAACTTCCTCAGCTACGTGGCGATGACGGTGTCTGCCCTGCCCATGCTGAAGAAGAGCGAGGGCAGCATCGTAGTGGTTTCATCCATGGCAGGTGAGCGAGGAGCGAGGTAGGTGACACAGGATTCAGTCAAAAGACACTGCAGGCTGATTTTCAGAAGCAGCAGCATGCAGAGACACCAGGCATCCTAAAGGAGCCATAACTGCTTAACACACTGAAAAAAAACCCCAACAAATCCAGATCTTTTTTGTATTTTTTCAATGGAATTTCTTCTCTGACGCAAACCAATTGCCCCAGCTTGCTTTTTGACCAGTTCTGTAATCAAACCCCACACCCTGGTGTTAGGCTCATTAGAGCAGCAGAGCTCATACTACTCCAGTTTTATGGAGAAAAGTGGAAATGCAGTAATTTCTCACTGCATTGGATCTCTGACCATTCATCTTGGTTTGGCAGGTCAAGTTCCTGCTAATATTTGTAGACCGAGTTATTGACTCTTCACAAAAACATGACTCTGTTGTAATAAATTTCTGTTAAGTCAGGAAACTGAATTACTAACAGATGTCCCCAGTCACAGCCAGTATGTTGGTTAGTCTTCTGGTGATCAGCTTAGCTCAGTATCCAGAGAGGAGAGTTTAAACTTTGCTCCATCTCCCCCTTCCGAGGGTTTCCTGGTTCCTGCGGGTTGCTCATACCCTGAGCAGAGACATGAGACATGAGACATGGTGCTGCCCTTAAGACCTTAAAAGAGCTGGAAGCTGACGGGAATATTTGTAATACTGCTGTTCAGGTGCCAGGATGACATTTCACTAACAGTAAACTCCCTTTGGGTAAAATACTTTATCTGATGAAGGGCAAAACAGAGGTTCGGGCAGAGCAGCTTTTCGTGCTATAACAGAACTTCACTCTGTGTCCAGGCAAAGTCGGGTTTCCTTTTACGGTCCCCTACTCTGCGACAAAGTTTGCCTTGGATGGATTTTTCAGCTCCCTGAGGCAGGAATTCAGCATGCAGAGCATTAACGTTTCCATCACACTCTGCATCCTTGGCTTCATCGATACTGGTAAGATCAGTGCTGTCTGACCTGGCCGATCAGGAGCCGAGCATCACCTTCTCAGCCTCTTACCCTGCCCTTCAACTCCCTCTGCCACCGACTCTCCCCTTTCACCTCTGCCGCTGCTTCTCCTCCAGCCCCGCTGTAGCATGAGTGCATGCAAAACACGCTCTGGTCTCTGGGGGATCCTATCACAGAATGGTTGGGGTTGGGAGGATCCTTAAAGACCATCCAGTTCCACCCCTCTGCCCTGGGCAGGGACAGCTCCCACTAGACCAGGTTGCTCAAAGCCCCATCCAACCTGGCCTTTGTTGGATCCAAAAACGAGCCTCAAAGCTAATTTCTTTCCCCACATTACATAAAACCAGGCACCACATACAGGCTGGCACAGCCTAATGCTCAATTAGTACGAATGGATGTACCAGCCACCTACCTCCCATTAATCCCATCTACTGATGAAACGATGAGATATGGGAATACAAGACCATGATTAGGGCAGCTGGAAGAGTTCTGCATGCACTGGGCAGTGGGGAGGAATTTACCTCTGTTTTGATGCACATACCATATCCCAGCTGCATCCCCAGCAGCGTGGCCAGCAGGGCGAGGGGGGATTGTGCCCCTCTGCTGCGCTCTGCTCTGGGGAGACCCCCCTGCAGTGCTGCCTCCAGCTCGGGGGGTCCCACCAGCAGAAGGAGACGGAGCTGTTGGAGCGGGGCCAGAGGAGGCCCCGGAGATGCTGGGAGGGCTGGAGCCCCTCTGCTGGGAGGACAGGCTGGGAGAGTTGGGGGG